TTTTTTTTTTTTTTTTTTTTTTTTTTTTTAACACACACACACAGACCCTTCTATTCTGGGAGGGGCCACGAAGTGGCAACGGCACCTGGCACCTGAAGCGCAATCTGCGTTCTCATCCAACCTGACAGTTGGAATCCCATTTCGGGATGAGAGCATTTGGTGGAACCGGTGAACCATTCAGGTCAAATGGGACAGAGGGCTCGTAGTAACTAATTGTTCTGATAGATTTAGCAGGTCCCTTGGAGTCTAGCCATCTGGCTACCCAAATAGATTGCTGTGACCCAAGCCTATCCTGTACCATCGTCGCCTGTATGACCTGCCTCATTTTACTGATACGCTTTTCAAGTGTTTTCCCCCACTGTGTCAAACTTTACTAAATCTTTCTTGAAGAACCGTCGATATATAACAGTACATGGGGGGAGTTTTGGGCCCAACAGCGCATCTGTCAACGTGACAGACGAACCTATTGTTGACATTCTCTGCGTAACTGATGCCATGGAAAGTCGTCTGCAAAGGGTTTTCACAACTTCACATTCTATTTCCTAGATCAGCCTTTCTGTGGAGGGGAAACCACGAGCTGGAAGGGGTGATTAGCTGGGTTGCCTGTGGGGCAGTGATTCAGCCGAAGCCTTGGGGTGCCCTCGGCATCCTGGACCCAGGCACACAGACGATGGCAATCTCCCTGCAGTGGCTCCAGCACCTGATCTTCGCCTCGGACGTGCCCTGGCCACCCCTTGCGCTGGCCCAAATCGCCAAGCTCGCACCTGGAACCCCCTCCTCGCTGCACCCGCTGGTATGGCTGGACAATAGGTTTGGGTTGTGCCCAGGCCTAGTGCCGGCAGCTGCCATAACCTGGAAAGGGCTGCAGCCAGGGTGGACCTCTGGAGGGACAGGTTTTGGACACAACTGATCACCAACTGGCGTAGGCTTCCCCTGCCAGATCGGCCCACCCCATCCCGCTGGGAGGAGGTGGCAAGGCAGCCCATCTTTGGGAATAGGGCTCTGACAGAGGCTGGGGAGGGTCTTCTCCTGCTCTAATGGGGCACGGTCCTCCTGGGCCAAAAGGGTTATCTTGAGAATAAAGGAGCTGTGGGACCAACAGAAAAGGGACTGGCTTTCGGTGGAGGAACTCAGGGCTCGCTTACCGCATGCTAGAAGACTGGGGAGCATCTGGAGGAAATCCGTGGCCCTGGCGGTGGGTCCACATTCTGCACTGAGGCCCCACCCTGGTCGAAAGTGACTGGAATAGCAATCGCTGAGGATCCAAGTCAAGTAGGCAGTGTAGTAGAGGTGCGACAGGAGGTCCTGGCTAACCTCTTCCAGTGGTCCCCGCAGGCAAAACTGTCCCGGTACGGCCCAGACAGGACAGTATGGATTGCAAAGGACAGAGTATTCCGTGTTCGGGGTTACAAGAAAGAAGATGCTCGGTATGCCTACAGACCTGGTCTTCCGGTCCAAGACGTACCCCTTGATCCTGACGAATGGAGACGGAACATCCTTGGGACCCTGCAGTCCAAAACCCTTCATCTCCACTCTCTCACTGTCAAGACCCGCTACCGGCTACTAAGAACCAAGCTTAACTTGGCAGACAGGGTACGGGACCTATGGGCAAGGCATTTACACGTGCCCCTGGAAACACTAAAACCGATAAGGTGGTTTCAGGCAGCCAAGGCGAAGTACGCAAATCAGGCCTCCCTGCAGTGGCAGATAGCCCACCGCTGCCTGCCCACGAATGCCTGGCTCATTGACCACAGCCACCTTGAGCAGAAAGGGGTGGCACTTCCTTGGTGACCCGCCTGCCTGGAAGGCTTCTCCTCCCGTAGAATAAACGAGACCATTGAGCATATGTTTATGCAGTGGCCCAGGGCAATCCTCACTTGGCGGTGGTAGGTTTGGACATGGGAACAGCTTGAAACAGACTGTGAATGGCCCTGGGAATAGCGAGCGCTGCTGTGTGGTCACGGCCCAGACAAATGAGGTCACAAGAAACCTTTTTGAGCTCGGGAGGAGAGCGGTCATATGGGCCCTGTGGTGGAGACGCTGCACTATCGCCATTGACAAGGCATGTGTTCAAGACGGGGAAATGACAGCCATGATTCGCGGTGAGGTGGACACTGGGATTAGAGCCCAATGGTCTAAAGTCCAAACCAAACTCCAATACTTAACCCAAAGAACAGACTTGACTAACACCATCTCTGAGTTCTGCAAGGACTGGCTGGGAGGGGTGCAGGGAGGGAGACTAACAAGGGTGGAATGGAGTGGGTGGAACCATGAAAATCATCAGACCCCCTGCCCGATGGACTATCATCTGAGTTTCATGAAATGGACTGACATTGACACCAATGTCCCCCTGCCCCCCAACGACAGCTTCCCCGACCCATTCCCCCCACCCCAAGGGACCCTAGTCGAGCTTGCATGGTTTGGCCGATAGGATACCACCTGGGCCCCCGAGTTGCCCTCGCGGCCCTCCCCTACCTGCATGTTCCCGCATGATTATCACATGATTACATTTGCTATGCTGCTCGTTTAGTCTCCATTATGTCTCCATTATGAGTCTTTATGACCATGACTGTTCTGTAAGGGACGCTGGACCCGGTTTCCAGCAGGTGCTGCTCCCCACCAATAGATTGGAGCCACCAGGTGGTAGCACGGGGGGCTGCTCATACCAACCCTGTGATACTAGACCTGGCTGTTTCTCAAAAAAAAAAAAAAAAAAAAAAAAAAAAAAAGACTTTCCTTTCTTGCAGATTTAGCTCTTATTGGTGTTTCAGGGCCCCGCCAGTGCCGGATGTAAATAGCATTTTCTTTATTTCATTTTTTCAAACTTGTGCACGTTCAGGTGACGATGGTCGGCATTCCTGCTCAAGGGCGCAGGGATCAACCCGCCGCACCGCAGGGTTCTGACGAGGGTGGAAGACTGAGCCGCAAGACCTTTTACGGTGCCTGGGCGTCATGGCGTCATCTCCCTGAGGTGCTCCGAGGAGCCCCGCGTCCTCGTTGTGAACCGCCTAACCCCAACACTGTCAGGCTGCAGACAGCAGGTGCGGCTCCAGACCAGCCAGCCATGGCTGCCACAAGGTGGCACCAGTTACAACCAGCTGAAGATGGCAAGCTTAACCCCCCCCCAAGCCCGAGCTCGAGCGATCTGTCCCTGGTGCAGGGAACCGGCAGCCTGCCCTGCTGAAGCATGCACTTGGGCATGACAAGGATCGAACCTGCAACCTGCATCCCTGGAATACTGCAGCATGCCCTGAAACATCCACTTGGGCATGAGAAGGATCGAACCTGCAACCTGTGTCCACGAAGAGCAGGCATATTTCGGGCTATATACGTGAAGCTTGCAGCATCCGCCACAAGCGCCTCACCGGGTATGGCAAGTTTCGAACCCGCAACCTGTGATGGATCACACAGGCGACCGGACCTCCTGGGCTGCAGTGCATTTGCAGTGTGCGAACGACCCTCAGCTGGACGCTATAGAGTATCCCATAAGCGAGTCCAGGTCCGAGGATTTGAACTTACACTCTAAGCCACAACTGTGCAGAACGCCAGAGTACAGGTCCACGGATTTGAATCCACGCCCTAAGCCGCAATGGTGCATAGCCGACTGGTGCTCTAACAACTGAGCTAGGGGCATTGTCATTGCACAACGCTCCGCTCCAACTATACAGAAATGCATTTGGTACACCTGCTCATTATCTCGTTGCAGCGCTTTCTGGTCATATGGACAGTGGTTGCAATTGTTCCTGAAAAAATGTAATCGCAGGGTTGTGCAAATGCAACTGCCGTGCTGGCCCATTGTGCTAATCCTATTCAACTGTGGAATGCCTATACCAGAAAGTCAAGACTCAAGAGTGTTATTACAGTGGTGGTAAAACCTCCCTAAAAGTGCAGAATATGCAGAAAATAATCCCACTAACTGGCGTAAATGCCGCTTGGGTGCTGTTGTCGTTCAGGGAATGCTGCTGTCGTTTATAGCAACTTTATACTACATAGTACATTTCCATTTTCACTTAGAATCTGTCAGGATGATAACTGTGTATCATATGAGCAGAATGTTCACCTGACATTTGTGCATCCACATTGTGTGGCCATGTTGGTTTTCATGTGCATAGTCGGTGTCTTGCTGCTTTCTTGTGTCCTATAGCAACACACACAGCTCTGTCATTGCAGGGAGATAGACCCACCTCACAAGCAAGGAAATGGGAATGATGAAAATTCAAATCTCAGTTATTTCATAACAAAAGGAATGGCAATTCAACATCACAGCCAAAAAGAGCAGTAGCTTGTAACAGCAAATAACGCAGGACAAAATGAAGCCAGGCAAATTGAAACAGGAATGACAAGGCCAATTGAAGCCTTGCATAAAACATTCTTGAGGAGTTGACGATTCTGGGCCTGCATGGCCCTGTTGTCATAGGAACATTGAGGAAACCAGAACATTCGAATAAATCACTGTGCATCTGTGTGTTTGTGTGTGTATGTGTGTGTGTGTGTGTGTG